TTAGGATCTGGGAAACTTATATAATAGAAGTTTCATTTGACTTTAAAATATATTAGACAGATGCTGCAAAATTTCAATTCAGAATAGGATAGTACCTATCTTAGATATTATAATTTCAGAATACAAAATGTACGACAGTATTTTACTGATCTGTTTTCATTAGTGTCATTGTTTATCTGATTTTGATGTAATTGTTGTATAGGAAAATATCATGATTACGAAGAATTTAAAGAGGGAAATATTGTTTCATGTTTTAACTAAAATATATACTGCGGGTTACCTACAAAGCGAAGAAATTGCGCTGCCTAGCAGCCTAGAAATACCAGAAAAAAATTGACATGGCTTGGACATGGCCATCAAGGTCTCGATACCAAAATTGGTCAGATGCCTTGAAATTCTTAAAATTAAAAGTATAATTAACTTAAATAAATACTTCTGCTAACTTGAACCACCATTACAGTACTCTATTTTTTATTTTGCACCTACTACAGAAATAAATATTAGGTATGATCGGACTGTATTTTAAAGATTTAATGTTTCATTTTTAAACCTTTTGGACGAAAAAACTAGTATGAAAGCTCACTGACTATATATTCATTAATTTTTTGAAGTGAAAACTTCGTTAGCGGCGTTATACACTTTTTTTGTAATGGGTAAAACTGTTAAACTCGCGTCAGAACACGTTCGAAATCGAAAATTCGTAAGACGAAAACAATAGAATTGGGAAGGTTGTTGACTTTCAATATATTGGACGAAACATAGTAATATTTTATTTTATCGTATTATAATAATAAGTCTCTCATGTTTGTGAACGTCAGCGCAATAAATAAATATTGTATTCTACCACATAAAGATAATATAGTACTTTTACACTGATAATTAATGCAATTCGTGTAAAATTATTCCCTATCCATTCCAAAATATCAAAAATGCACAACGTTTATATTCAGGTTTTCACTTCTGCCGGCACTCCCGTCGTTTTTTTAGGTAAACTAATATTCAGTTTGTATATAGTTGTAGTGTTTTTGAGGAGCTCGATGGCGCAGGTGGCTAGCGCGTTCGCCTGCGATCGTTGAAGTTAAGCAACTTTCGCAGTGGTCGGTCATTGGATGGGTGACCAAAAATTTACTATCTCGAGCTCCTCCGTGCTTCGGAAGGCACGTTAAGCCGTTGGTCCCGGCTGCATTTGCAGTCGTTAGCACCCACCAATCCGCACTGGGCCCGCGTGGTGGGTCATGGCCCAATCTCCCTATTCCATCCATAGGGAAGGCCTGTGCCCCAGCAGTGGGGACATTAATAGGCTGATGATGATGATGATGATGATATAGTTTTGGAATCATTATGGGTTATCAAGCGATCTTTATATTTAATCCAAACAAGGATTCTGAAACCAGCATCGTGTTATATCGAAAGGATTTTGGGTTACACAACTGACATATATATTCATTTCACATCTCGTGCTTACGAATAGGCACTCTGCTACCGAAGGATTCAAAGGTACGTCTAACGCGTTTATAAGGTCAGAATATTATATTAGATCAAGGGGCCGAAATTAAATTCGCGGCACAACGATATAATAGTCCAGGACCTAGTTATGGCATGAATATTAAATTTGATTATCAAATTTTAGCTTTAGTTTACTCAACCATAAATGTGCCGTAAGTTTTTGATTGAGCTATTATATACGTTAATATAATCTTTGTAAGATATATTTATAGCTGATATTTTTGTTTCTTTATTATACCTACAGTGTTTGTGATTTTATTTGCGTTACGAATTTTTACTTAATAGTTTCATGTTTACTACCGACGAAAAAAAACGAAGGAGGTTATCAAGTCGACGCGTATATTTTTTTTATGACCACGCATAACTTTTTACTGAGAAGTCTGATTTTGATAATTCTTTTTTTATTGGAAAGATTATACTCTAAGATCCCTTTGTGAAATATTACACCTTAAAGTGCAAATTTTTGTTGCAGTAGGTCCCTCTAAATGTTTGAAAAATCTAATAAAAGTCATGATAATACTGCTTTTAATGAAATTTCAAAGAAAATTATGACGGTTTAGATAGATCATTTAGTTTTAGAGTCGTTCAACTAATGTATTAGAAAATTTCTTACCTAATAGAAATTCCTTAGAAGAACACATTAAAAGTAACTAAGATGTACTTCTTCTAAGTTATTTTGCTTGCTAAATTGCTTGTTTACAATAATTTAAAAAAAAACGAGCTCAGTATCGAACCTCCGATCAGTTGGTGTCGACCCCAAGAGTGTTACCGTTTAGCTATCCGTCTCTTATGGTAAATGACAAAATTACGGATACCTATACCTATCTTGTGTCTTCCGTTTCATCGAATCTCAAATCACAACGGTGCTAAAGAAGTTTTCACTTCAAAAAAAACAATGTAATATTTTTTGCAAAAAAGAAATCTGTGTAAATTTGCGTAGTAAATATTAGAGACGTTTTTGTTTAATTTGGTTAAGAAGGAACCTAGTCTATCTCGCTTCTAAAATGTAGTTAAGAAGTTGTCTTAAACGAGAATTTTTACTGTAATACATTTTAAGCTTCTCATCTTGTCTGATGTTGTGTTTGAAAAGTCGATATTTTTATTAGATTCTTAGAAACTATATTGCTAAATAATATTGTAGAGGAAGTCACTTATAAATTTTATAGGTCATAATATCAAGAACGCACCCTATTTCAGAGATATATAAAAAGAAACTTTAGTATTATTTATTTCTTCTTTCTATAGACAATGGTTCTTACTATGAATGAATATGAAAGAAGATGAATAATTTACTTGCCTGAAGGAAACCATGTCAATATTTCATCAGCTTGTTATTTAAAAAGGTCAGGAAGCTGGCGTTGAAAGCGAGTAATAAATAAAGAGTCTCGATGTCAACCCTCCGAGTTTATTCGAGACTTCTAACACAGTACAAAGTGAATAAGCTGTGTTCCTTAAAAACCGGCTTAGATACAAAAAAGTGTTAAAGAAAAAGTTTATTCATCAATATAATAGTAAACTAGTTTACAATCTGAAAAAGGTCGTAATTAAAGGAGACTTACAAACTGGATAAGGACAGGTTGAAATGAAAAATACAAAGATATTTGACCAGTTACGGTTTGTTGGCTATTTTCTCGTGGTCCATGTAGGAGAACTATTTCTGTCTATCCTATTGTGTCTGTGTAGCGAATATCCATTATTTTAACGACCTGATTACACAAGAGACGTCATTATATACAATGGTACCGGTTCGAAGTGGTTTACACTAAAACTGAACCCGAATATTATTTGATCTACTTTTATAAAAAAAACACAAATAAGGAAGACATTTATTATCCATTTCCAATACCAGAAGTTCTTAGCCATGATATGGTCCCTTGGTACTTTATTCAAAATAATGATTTTATAAATGTAAACACTTTTAAAAGTAATTTCTGATGACTCTCCAACCTAGGGGGGGACTTCAGTACTATAGACACAATTATGAAAGTAAGTTTTGATGTCTCCCCTAAGGGGAGACCACAGTCCGACATCGTTAATTTATAAGCGGCAAAGGCTTAGAAACTATATTGATAAATAATATTGTAGAGGAATTCATTTATAGACTTTATAGCTAATAATATAGTCCAATATCGTTAATTTATAAGCGGCAAAGAGAATATAATCTTAATATTGGTCAGATATAAATTAAAGAAGTTAATGTTCGTATCGGAATTGAGGTTGGTGAGTTTTGTATATAAAAATAAAGTAGGACAGACAGAAATAAGTCTCCCTTGTTGTCCCACTAATAGGAAAAAAACAGTAGGACCACGAGAAAAAGAAAGTTTTTTCACGTGTAAAATAAAGCCTTATTTTTTTAAGCCTATGTTATTTAAGTTAATTATTTTAGTTATGCTCTTTATTTGATAAATCCTTAAAAGTTAACACATGTTTATTGTAGACATTTGGTGGCAATTGAAATTCAATAATACAATTTTGAACAGATCCGTCATGAATCTACTATTTTTTTTACATCAAACTGCTTTGTTCGTACTTTTCTGGTTTTAAGTCGTACGAAAACAAACTTTGTAAGAATTTGAAATGGTAAAATAGTCATGAGAGATATATTTGTACGTTTTATATGTAAAAACATCTCATTTGATGGTTATATGAATTTAATTTTTGTTTCTAAGACCACTACGTACCCAAAAGTATTATTATACAGTATTTGTGTAGTATTTAGAGGGTAGTTTTAAGAGAGGTTGGGCATTGCGGATTCTCCACTCGAATTGGATACCCCGCCTGGGGAAGTTACCACCGCCTTACAAAGGACCACAGTATAATAACTCTACCTTTTGATGGTGTTGTGTTATGGTAGCCGCTTACCATCCAGACGGGCCATATGCTTGTTAAGTGTTTTTCGATATATTTTATTCGTAAGTAGCTCATTATCATTACACTGTGCATCCACTAAAGCACTGCTCGATCTGAACGGTTGTAATTTCACGTCTGGCAAGTTCCCTTTCTCTTTTTGTTTGTAATGTAAATTATCCTCGTTTGACCAAGAACTCTGCCGAAATCTCTTCTATTGTCCGGATCCAATGTCAGATAGCGCGAGATTTAATATAGAGGGTTGTAAATTCCTCGCCACTTACACCGTGTTGGGTTCCTAATCGGCTGTTTCACGGAAGATTGGCTGATTACAAACCGAATATTTTCGTAATTTCAGATATTATGATCAACGGTCCTCCAGTAATGATCGTTTAAATATAGAAGGTCCTAAGTGAAAACGAATTCTGTATAATAGAAAACTTGTCTGTTTTGACATTTTTACGTGAATTAACCGGCAAATGGGTCATTAATCAATTTGTTCGATAATGCATAGAATCTTTGCCTGAAAAAATGCATTTTGAAGAAGAAGTAGCTAATAGAAATAGAAATAATCGATTTGCGAGTGTAAAATTATTCTGATAGTGCCCATCGATAAATCAACTTTAATACTCAGATAAATATCAAACATGTTTCTTTGCTCGCTTTTATTAGCAGTCACTATTTCAGTCGAAATCAATACAGAATATTATACAAAAGAAAATGCAACAGCCACATTTAACTTTTTTAAAGAGAAATATCACAAAAAATATAGTCCAGCAGATGAAAAAGAAGCTTACGAGAACTTTCTTAGTAACTTAAACAAAGTTACAGTTTTAAACATGAACCCGAAGGAAAAAAATATAATGTATACTTTAAATAAATACGCGGACCTAGATCCTTCCGAAATACAGGAGCATTTTGCTCTCAATCTAAGTTCATGTAAGTTTACATTTGTTTTTATATTTTTATGTTTATTAGACGTTCTTATATTGTTTTTACCCGGATTATATTATTGATTCGAATTTACATTATAGTGATTAGCAAAATTTGTTACTATATACGATCATTCCTGACCTGCTTGCTTGGATCGTAGATATTTAAAATTTGACCTTTATTATCAATGTAATAGATCATGTTAAAAATAAAATTGGAATAGTAGTATGAATTTCGATATTGATTTCAAAAATCGTAAATGTAACAGAAACTCTTTCGATTTCTTAACATTATAAAAAAAGTTTGGTGAACTAATAGGTTAATACTTAGTCCATGGGCAAAACTTCAAATAATTTAATGCCACAGAGAGGCGGCAAAATCTGTCACGTCAAATAGGGTTGTTCGGAAAATAATAAGTATGTTACCAAGTATTTGTACATTTAAGAAAAAATCTGCCTTATTGTTTTGAAATGCTTGTAAAAAAATAAACTTATGGTGGATCAGGAATCAATTTGGTTGATTGTACCTTGTTTTTTCAGTCACTGATCATGGAACTTACAATGCAACAGTACCAAAATATCAGGGACTCTTAAATCAAAGGTCCTGATAATTACCACATAATTACAATATTAGACTTACTTATAATAAAACGGCTTATTGTTGTTTATGTAGTATCGTTTTGTCACTTCTAGATGATGCTCATGAAGTATATAAAGGACCAATTGTGCGAAATAGACATATTCTAAGGAATATTATTGAGCCAACGCCTGAAGGTGCGAACTTGGATAGTATGGAGTTATACGACTTGGATGACGCGGAAAATTTGTTTCGTGAATACACAAAAGCTTTCGGTAAAAATATAACGAAAAAATATGATCGCACTGTTCACTTTTACAAATTCGTTAAAGCTCTTGTCGATGCGAATAGGAACCATTATAAAGGCAACATAAATAAGACTATTGATGAAAATGCTGACGTTGTAGAACATCCAAATGATTACTACTATTGATTCTTACATTTTGCAATTATATGCATTTATAATTATAGAGTTTTGACCAACCCCTATACTAATGTGAAACATCGATTAATTAGGAAAAAGTCTTATAACACTGAATCTTTACAAATGACATAGTTAAGAATATTCCAAAATGTAGGATGACCAGTAGTTCACCTTGATATTAAACGAGACACGGTTTAAATAGTAATAACTAAACTTCAATAATCATAATTCCCATTTTGTTTCAAAATTAATCTGAAGCACCGTCAATAAATGTATCGATTTTGTTATCATTTTTATCTTTCTTCAATTGTTACGTTTACTTACCTAACAAAGGCTTAAATAAAGGCAAAGTTCGTTTAAATTTACATTAAAACTTTGTAAAAGCCTCATTGAAATCCCCATAATTGCGAATGAAGTGTTTACAGGATCAATGAAGACCCTTAATTTATACAATGCTCACAACTTGATTTCAGAGGATATTATGAGTCCTTTGAATAAAATAGTAATAAAAATAGGTAAATTTAAAAAATCAAAAAACCCGATTTTTTTGAAAATTACTTTAAATAAAAACTAAAAAGAAAAAAATCTGGTGTAGTCTGTTAAATAAGGAGTTGTCGAAACTCATTAGATATTCAAGAATGAATCAAATATTTCCGCCTGAGTTTCAATGGGTCCTAACTGTTAAAGTAGCTTTGTTTCTAATGTATCAGAAATTTAGGCTATACTTGCTTTTTGCTTTTCAGTTTTTACTTAAAGTAATTTTAAAGTCTGGTTTCTTGGTTTTTAAATTTCTTTTTTCCGTTTATATTTAAAGTAATTTTTAAGCAGTCGGTTTTAATTATTTAAATTTACCTTTTTATTTCAAACTTTTTAGTTAGGATTCCATGACAGTAAATCCCGCAGTCTTGACATTTTTTTAAGGGGAATTAATATCACGGGGATTATTAAGTAGCTTGCGGTGATCTCAACGACTAATTTGTTAATCTATGCAGAGACCTTACAACTAGGGTCAAGGCTACATATGGGCCTCAACTTTCGCAATAATGTGTGAAGTTCAATCAACTACAGCTACAGCAAAGAAGTTCATTGTAATGTACTTAATCATTTAGGTCCAGTAAGAACCCCACAGCAATGTCAATGGCAACTATTCGGTTATATTTGATCCTGTCCTCCAATTGCATCGGTAAGTATTAAAATTTGATTCTTACTCCTACTCCGGGGACAATGTTTTTAATATCTTTATCAACAATTAACCATAAACAGCAGGTCCCTGCGAAGCACGGTACGTAACCGTACGAGATTTCTCGTACAAATACGAGATTTGTCTGAGAAATTTATATCATGATATTTCATCCGCGACCTGTTTACTTTATTTTTTCGTCCTGTTTATGTAATATGTGATAATTTTTAATACAAAGAGATGTTTTATGTAGTAGAGAAAAAGTGCTAAATCCAATATTTTAATATGCCTTACATTTGACATGCTTAGAATGTACGACTCCGATCTTATCACATATGTACCTTTAAATAGCTTTGGGTATTTGATGAGAAAAGTGAACTCTCCAAATTGTACTTAGTGTGAGATGGTCGAGGGTGTGTGGCACGTGATGGTTGTTGTAGAAAGAAACCACTTTTTTAATTAATTCCCGGAGCTGATATTAGTGGATGTTAAATTATACAATAGCATAGTCGTGTCAATTCTGGCATGATTTCCTAAACTTAAAACTAAATAAAAAATCAGTCTATCCTTTTCATTCTGTATACTGAATGACAAGGATACTCTAAGGATACTCTTTGTCAAATTTAAGTTTAGGTGTAGAAAATCCTGCCAGAATCGACACCACTATCTAGTCTCCTTTCATAAAAGAAATAAGGTTTTGTATAAAATCGTATCAATCTGTTTAAGAAGACGATAAAATGTTTGACATGGTCTATAAAAGACAAACCCTTTAAAATAAGGAATTAAAAAAAATATGTACGGGGTTCGAAAGCTTAAAAAGGAGATTTTTGGCTGCTTATTTACGAGGAAAAAAAACTAAGGCAACCCTGCTGCGAAGAGCGGACCACTCAATTGTTTAACAATTCACATGGATCTGTTGATTAAAAGGTGGTTAAAATTAAAAGTTTAAGCAACATAAGTCGAGATCATAACCGAATTGTCAAATAAAGAACGATCCCTCCAGTTTGGTAAAGGTCATGAAAAATAATCTATTATTATATATGCTAAAGTCAGTTTGCTTGTAACGCATTCGCACACTAATAGCTGAATCAATTATGATAAATTTTAATATCAAAATAGTGATCTTGGTTATAAGCTAGGTTATCTAAATTCTCATAAGGGTAGGGTAACGAAAGGGGTAATTTAATTTACGTAGGTATGAAACTTATTATTATTTGCTTCTTATTTGCACAGAATAAAATTTATAATTATAAAATCAACGCGATCATATTAATAAAGACAAGGAGTCCATTAAGTATGTACCTAGTAGCGAATAATACGTTATTTCTCATTATGTTAAGTGCCATGATGTAACATGAAGTTTCATCGTTAAAGTAAATTTTAAAGCAGTAAAATTCTGATTATCTCTTTAAAATTAAAAATTATTATAAAATTGGGATGATTATTTTTCATCATTTAATACCTAAGTAGGAAATTAATTACAGTTTTTTTATAAGTACTAGGTAAGCAAATAGAAGCTAGTCTATCTTCTGCCCGCAACTTTGTACCTATAGGATAAGATACTTCGAGTACCTATTTTCTTTTCCTATGTCTCATATCTACGTTTATATATACCAAAAATCATCAAAATTTCTTCTCCAAACATTCCCGTTGTCTATATCCTGCATGCATTTCTATAAAGTGCACCGCGCAATCACTTTGTCATCGTCGTAACTTTTTAATTAAATATTTGTCCAAATGACATAGTGAATAAGGCAAAAATTATCATCACTAAATATCAGAAGCGATAAAAGTATTTGTTATGACAAAAAATATTTTTTTAATACAAAATATGCATTTTGGAAATAAATATAAAATATTTTATTTTTGATTTACTATTTTTCGATAATGGCTTACACATCATAGATGAGACACGTTGTTGCGGACTTTTTTGTAGAACTATTTAAGATATATATTTCCACTTTACATTATATTCATGTAACTTTTACGGTTCTTGCAGCGCTGGCCAAAATGGCTCGGAGATGGGAGCTTTTTTCCGCCTTACGTGACACTTACTGTTATATTTTGGCCAATTCACTCAATAGCTTCATAAATTATAACTTTTATGTTAGTATTATGTATGAGCTATATTATTTTAAAGTTTCGTTAAAATATATTTAGTCGATAAATATGTTTTTCGATTATCTAGACAATGATACCCCACTTGACATATTTTGTAAACTTATTTTTAGTTTTTTCTCACAATACGACGCCTATTTGTCCCCATATTGAATTTCGATTACTATCATGTCTTGAGTAGCACTCCCATGATTATGACGAAGTCGGGTATTAAAAGAATACCGGCATGTTGCTACACCGTATAGAAAGAAAATATTTTTTTGCTAAATAATATAAGTAAGGCTTTGTGAACCCATATGGAGCGTTTTTGTGTTTATTTCTACAGGTCTTCTTATAACAATGTGAACCAGAATGTTCTTTCATTATTTTATTGCGACAAAAGGTATTATTATTACATTTTACACGAAAGATCTTTTTTATTTGTGTTTAATAATACAAGAACACTTAAATTAATATACCCAAAATAAACTATGTATTTATAGGCTGGTGAAAAAGAATTCAATTTCATTTACAGCACAAAAGGTGAAAAACAAAATTTTATTTATTTTATGTATAATGATCCATTTAGAGAAACCACAAAAGGTTTGTACAAGCATTAAATTATATAAGTAACATCGATCAAAAAAAAATGCAAATCTGAATAAACATTCTGGTTACATGATTAGTATTAAAAGATATAAGTTATATCATATGGTAATGCGCGGCAGAATTATATGATATACTCGTAACTTATGCCGCGCATTACATACTATCGTAAGTGTTTCGACCAGGGGGTGAATTGCCTAATGGGATTGCTATGGCTATCGTGATCACTTACGATTTCCTTTTGTTATTTCTGACCACCGAAGGTTTTCAAAACCTTACGCTCATTTTCTTTAAAATTGTTATACCCATGCAAAAGAAAAAAGAAAAGCGCGAGGCATTTGAAAACCTTTGGCGGTCAGAAATAACAAAACGTAATCGTAAGCGATAGCCATAGCTATCCCCTTAGGTGATTGGCCCCCAGGGTAGTATACCTGATAATCAAAATATCGAAAAAATATTCTTTGAATGTCATTCGGGTCTATGCTCCGACCTCGACACATACAGATGGCAAAGTGGGGGCTATGTATAAGGAGATCTCTAAAGCCATGTACAGCCACAAAACCCACTACATGGTTAAGATGAGCGACTTCAACGTTCGGTTGAGTAAGCGTTGCAGTGATGAGTTGAGTGTGAGACTGGGAAATGTTATATCTCATAAACTGTTTTCTGCTGCATTGGATGATATTTTCAAGCTATATGAGTTTGGAAAAGCCGAGGCAATAACATCAATGGCGAGTACTTAACACACCTTTGCTTTACCGATGACCTTGGAAGATCTGAACGGTTTCTCGAAGAGTGGGTGTTAAGATGAGCATGGATAAGACGAAAGTCATATCGAATGTCTATGTTGTACCCGCTCAAGTTAAATTTGGAACGTCCGGGTTCATTCCCAATCCCGATTGTAGAACAAACCTTCTATCTCTCTGGTCTAAGTAGTTGGTGTGAAACTTTTGTTGTTTCTGATCTTTACTACACTATTGCTTTAGCTATACTTACCTCAGGATTAGAGGTAATGTATGTGATTTAGTCCAATATTATCCATGTTTTATTATGTGATTATTAATTAAATAGCGATTTCAGATCACAGAAAGCATTTTAGGAGTAAATAATTAGATTTCAGTCTCAAAATCAAGCTTATTTCGTTTAGAATGGGGATTCTATATCATAGGACGTTTTAAAAGTCCTTTATATCAGTTTACACATTTTTGTCCACAAAATTGGTGTACATTGATTTATGTGACAATATTTAAACAATTAGCGCTAAAATAACTCGAAATAAAGATTTCTCAAACAGTTTTTAGTAATGTTTGTTTTATAAGTTTTTGCAAAGTAAAGAAACAAAATAATATCTACAGAAATAACATAAGATGTATCATTCTACACTTGTTAGTTTGAGGTCAATAATTGACCGTCAATTCAGTGTGGTGTTAAATGATTTAAGTTTCATTATATCACTATACAGAAATACAAATTTTCATGCTATGTGATTTAACTGGGTTACTTATTTATTTAATTTAAACGACAATATATACTTTATTTCCAAAACGGGTACATTACCTGATTATTATTTTTAACGTTATCTCTCACCAAAAAAAAAATCACTGCGTTGTCTCCAATAACCAAGTCGCAGGTTATTTTTTACTTCAAATGCGATTTCCCAAAAATCTCAATTTTCGAGTTAGATCACTTTTCACTGAACGCACAGAATTGTCTGTGGGCAAGCCGGGCTTTTTAGCTAGTATGAAATTACCGCCACTCAGTAGATATCTAAAATCATCCATGACTTATGTACGTGCTTGTATTCATCATACTAACATTTGGCCCACCGGAATTCCAACCCGATACCTCTGAGTAGGCAACACCATGGCACCCGGTGTACTCGTGGGTACCACTCAATATCACTCGGGCCACGGAGGACGTCGTATCGTCACAAAAGTTGCCCATGTAGAAAGATCAGAAAAATATAGAATGCGCTAAAAGTCTATTGTTATGGCAGATTGAAAAAGTTAGTTCCTATTTGTGTACACTATTTACTTACAAAATAAATATAATATTTTTTTTCTTGACGAGGTCCTGATACACCCCATTTACTTCTTCGACAATAGGTATTCAGTACGAGCCACGCCAGGTACGAAAACAGGTGAATTTTGCTCCACTCACATTCCTAACGATATCGCGTTACATTGCTCTACGAATAAAATGCATGAGCGTTAAGAAGATCACCAGTTTCGCAGTTGAAGATTTTCCACAGACAAACTATTCTAAAGCATTCAGAATCT